GGCGTCTCCTTGTCTTCTGGCAGCCCCCTCCCCCGGCGAGGGAATTTCTAACTCTTTTGAATTATTTGGGGTTTTTTCTGTGGTTTTTTTTCCTGGTAACTCATGGCTTACCTGACTAAATAACATCAGGAAAGGCATAAGCAGATTTTCCTAAGTGATTCCTGCATGTCCATAATCCTATGTTATTGAAAGGTGCCAACTTGGAAGCCCTAGTGTGGCATATTTTATTTATCACAGAGTAGGTATTATACCCCCAGTATGGCTGAACCCAAGGGACCATCTGCAGGGTTGAATGAACTGTGCATTCTTTAGTATTATCATTCATTTCTTCCTTCATGGTTCTCCGTTAGTGCTAGCTTGAATTGTTGTTTTGTCATACGGACATTTGTCCACTGGTCTGAAGGCACCAAGCATCATTCAGATGATAATGGCTTTTGTTAATACAGGGCTGGACAGGATTCAAACTGCCAGCTTATACATAAGCTGGTACTGCTTTTTCATAACGATCATGGGATAAATGTTTGATAAATACTTAAATATTTGGGTGAAATTCACCCCTACGCATAGCATCAGCATAAGGCCTACAGGTTACTTCCCATCTGAAATTTACCATAGTGTAAAAGGCAAATTTACTTGCTTTTGTAAAGCTAAATTTAACCTTATCTTTCAAACTGAGGCAGATAATTTTCCTTTCTCCAAACTCCTAGAGTCTTTCTTCCTGTCTTCAAAATAAACTTTGTTTCCATATTGACTCGGCCTTCAGTAACCCTTTTAAACATAAGTAAAATCAAAGTTTACAGCCTTTAGCGGGACTTCCTGTCTCTAAAGTAGGGATGGCTCACAAAAGGGGAAAGAAAAGATCATTTTTCTGAGAAAAAGGTTGTCATTTGCCATGTACTGAAAATTTTGGGTGTTCTTCATGGACCACAAGAAGTATTTTTACTTGCACTACCATTTTCACTACCCCCTAAATTGCCTGGTTACTGCAGTAGCCATGCTTCCAACATCTCCTATAGTCAGACATTTCCTGAACTCCTCATTGGCAATCAGGTGCTCCCCCCCCCCTTTCCCCCCACCTCAGGAGGCACCAGTCACCCACATTGCAAAGAATACTTTTTCCAACTACTTAGTTGGTCTAATAAGATATTTATCCAGAGAACCTTGTCTGCTCTTGGAGGAATCAAGTATTGTCTGTTGAGGTGAAGAAAATAAGGGAGAGAAAATATTGGAGATTTAATCATGTTTGCATTTATTATCCTTGTTATCTGTAATTTGCAGTATCTTCATAATATATTACTCCAAAACTAAATTTAAGTTCTCTCTACAAGAATTAGTCAATAAATAGTCTGAAATGATCACACCTCTGTGATTATTTGCAAAGACAACATTTAGACTACAACAAAGATATATTGTCCAAAGTCAGGGTCAGAAGAAGGATCATCAAAAGCAAGGACGTTCATGGTTATAGAACCTTAAGTAACAAGTGTGACTGCCCAATATTTCTCATATTTTATTTTTATATAAGAGGGACCTGAATTAGCAGCTTCCCTCCTGTGGTCCTTTGTCAGTTTAAGAAAGAACAACAATGATTAAAGAACTTTTCTAGAGTTTTTCAAGTACTGGGAACTAGGAACAAAGTTGAAGCAGAGTTGAAAGGAGGCACTTTTAATCTTGGTTTGCAGCTTTTTTATTTCTGAATCATACATACATACTGTACATACGATGATATTACATATTCTCATATTACTTAATCTACAATTTAGTCAGCATAGGTTGATTACCAAAACAAATTGTAGCTGTTAATTTATATTTTGTTCTCAGCATTTTGATAGTAGTAGAAAAAAATCTGAATATAAAAGAGATTATGTTTGTGCAGTTCTAAGTACTATACCCCTCTTTGAACAGACTACCAATTTTCCTTAGATATTGATAGATAACTGTTAGTATAATATATAATTGCCATATTTGAACATTAAAAAAGATTATCTTTAAAATATATTAATAAGCAAAAGATAACTCCACCTTTTTCTAAGTCCTCATGACCCTTTCACACCATCACACTGGCAACTCTATATTAGGTCAATATGCCATTTGTTTCAGATGCATTCTTGCCATCATGGGCTGCCATTAGCAAACTGGTCTGCTCACTGGTATTCACAGGAAGATCTTTGTTTAGTCATGTAACCAAAGTGCCTCTAGTAATTCCCCTCCTGTGCAAAAGATCAGCCAAAGGACTATGCACCATTTAAGCCTCACTCAGGTCCTGAAAGTTGGACTTAATGGGTGCAAAAGCCTACTGTTGAACCCCTGAATGAAAGTGAATTTGCCCTTCAACGAACAATTCTGTCCCTTCAAGTGTAATCTAGATGATCCAGTTCATTCAAGATGGCTTTAGCTGCAGATCTACAGATGACATGAGTTCATGCTGTTACGTGTTTTCAACAGGTCAGATCCAGAACAAGCTAATTAGCAACTGGAACTTAACACAAGTATTAATGCCTAAATAAAGCTTCATATTCTGCATGTTAAGGGGCATCACGTTAAGGCATTTACAAGCCAAGACTTGAGTATCTGAAAAATCATGCAACCTACCAGACACTAATTTGAGGCTCAATACAGTGAAGCTAACAAGAGTTGATAATCACCAGCATCCCTTGGGAGTGGGCCTTACCCCCATTAAAATTTATAGGAACTGAAAATTAGTTGAGATAAAATAATTTGTCTAATATAACACAGATGCAATGCACTAATGCTGAAATAGAACAAGGGCCATTGATGTGTTGATATTTAGGTTAGATCCCATATAAGAAAGCTTTTGGCATCTTTTTGTCCTTCTGACACTGTCTGTCTTCATTAGAGTAGCTGAACAATTGGGCATACAATGATTCTTATTCATTGTGTGAACAAGAGGATATTCCACAGAAACTGTAACATCCATCTGAAATATGGATTTCTGAACTGCAGGACAAAAAATGGCCTCTCTTCTTAGTTTGAATTTTACTGAGAACAACACACATCATTTCTGCTTTTTGATAAAGCCTTTGCTCCCTCTTGGTCTGTCTTTTGGTCAGTAATACAGGATGCTGAGTTAGTACATGTGTAAATGCTGAAATGAACAGAGAACCTAGAATTACTGTTCACAAGGATGTCTTTATGTAAAGTCATCACTGTGAACCTGCAACTATTATCCCAGCCTTTGTGTAATCATAAAGCATAACCATAACTAGTATATACCCAAGGGATATTACAAAGGATGTGGGGAAGAGATGTGGGCTATAGCCACTACCACTCTTTTTATAAAGGGGACAGACAGATTTAGGCTTCAACTTTCATTCTCATGCAAAAACCATGTTCACCAGTAAAGAGCCAGTGCCTGTCACACTGTTGCATTCAAGACACTTAAGTTATTTTCCATTTTTTTAGTGTAAAGATATACTGTGGCATTTAATATACCAATAGATGGTCAGTGGCTGTGAATAAGTGCTGTTTTTCTGTTGTTTGTACCAATCCTAGTGACAACGGTTGGTACAAAAGCAAACTGTGTTTCAATCATCATTTTGTTAATTGAAAACATATCCTCAAAATACTTTGACATCTGTATTTAACAATTGATCATGGCACCAAACTATGGATTTGTAAATGTAATCTACTACCTTAGAAAAGCCTTGATGTTAACTATAAACATGGAATAATCATCACACTGCACTTAAACTAAGGATGCCATTTGAAGGCCCACAACTTAAAAAACTATCCTTGAAATACTGGCACTATATTTTTAAAATCTTACCAACACTGTTAGGACATGTGAAAACCATTTCAAGGATTAACTACTTAAAAAAGACTGACATGAAAAAAAAATAAAGATACTCAACTCAAATTAAAAAACAATTACTTTTGCTTAGTCAGCACTCTCTCTCTGAAAAATCTCTCTTTAATGATTATTATATTTTCGAATAAATTAGGCTTCGGCATGATGAAACATGTAATTCTGTGTTGCTATTGGTGGCACTCGTTGAATAAGAAGGATGTTGCAGGAGGAAGAGATATGGACACATTCAGAGAAATACATGTACCAACTCTTAAAATATTTTAAACAGTAGAGCTACAGCTAAGCTGTAAAACAAACTAAGCTACTATTGTTTATTGTAACCATACCCATTTTTTGCTATACATAAACATGAATATATTGAAGACAAGCCATGAAATCTACTGCTTTGTCAGGGTTTCACTGAATTACACGAGGCATATTGTTGGTAAAACGGTATAATCATTTTGAATTGAAAACAGACACAATTACATGTTAGATCCAAAGCCTGGGGCAACCAGACTGGGCCCTTGGCTTTCTTCAGGAATTCGTAACAGCACTGAGTAATTGTAAAACAAAGCCGAATGGATCAAACTGCCTCTTCCTCCACGCCACATGTCAGGGAAATGCAGACCCTCTTTCTTGAGTGTCTGGAAGTTATGGCTTTAAATCATTCTTTCAGCTTCATGTCAATGCTTTGGAAAGAAAAAAAAAAAAAATCAGTGCTAATACAATACACTGTTACCTCTTTCCCCAGTCTTAAGGGTTCAGTCCTGACAGGCACTGAACACCTTCATCTTTCATTGACTTCAGTGCTCCAGTGTAAAATAGTTTATGTAGTCCCTTAGGACCATGAAGAGTTTCCAAGAAAAACAAATCTGCCATCCATCTCAACTATTTTCCCAGTTTCTTTGGTATTCTGCAAAATACATAGCTTCCACCACAAGTACAAGAGCACTATTTTTCTTTCCAGAAAGCACATCTACTTTAGAGATCTCCTGGAGACATCCCATTATATTCTCTGAAGATTACTACCATTGTTAAAACATGCAAAATGCTCCAATACTGAACACTTCATTTTTTTTAAAAAGGAACTCATTATTCAAACCAAGAAATAGAAAACATGCTAGTATGACCCTAGAAAAAAACCCCATCAGAATGAATACAGACACAGCAACGTAAGAGCTGGGCAGACACCAGAGAGATTATAGAAGAAAGGCAGATCAGATCCAGGCAAAACTCTCATTGTCACTGGAAGGATGTTGATAGATGTAAAACTGATTTCTGGAAGTGTCAGCAAAAACTTACAAATATGAGCAAAGGCAAATTATTGCCTTGCCATTTTTAGAGAGAAAAATAGCAGAATTTCATACATTTAATGGAATGTATACTATAAACCCAACAAAAAGTTATCTGTTCTCATAGATTCATTGTATGATATTTATTTAAAAAGTAACTTTTTTGTGAGAAACAAAAGTAAGTGATACCACAAAAAGATTTATTTTTTATATCGCTAAACTTTGAGTAATTAAAGTCATAATATGTTGCTTGCTAGTTTAGGAATTAAAATTCAAAAAAGGTTCTTCCTTATGAGTAATGCATTTTCATTGGTGCAATTTAGAAGGAACTAAAGAGAATATTTTGCTATATATAATTAATCCAAAGTAAAATAGTAAAAGAAACATTAGTGTAAATAGTACAAAAGTGAGACATACTAATAGTTATTAGCACTGTATCAAGTATTACAAGTCAAGAGGCTTGAATAGTGGAGAGAAGAAAGGAATTGAAAGCATAGCCAGAATTCATTCAAGTCAATGGAAAATGTCTCATCGACTTGAATGAGTTTACAATGTTTAAATTACAAACAAACTTGGATTTAATAAGACCTGTCCCTATCTTCCTCATGCTGATCAGTTTGCACTTTCTTCCCATCCTTCACATGTCTTTGTCCTTAACATATATTTGTCAGGACCAGGGCTATGTCTCTATCTGTCCAGAAAACTCACAGGATATTTTAAACACCACTGCAATATAAATGAATATAATAGTCTTGACTACAGAACTGCAATACCATGTCTACATTCATAAGCATGGAATTTGGTTCCTGTAAAGAACACTTAAATGCACATGGATCTGCAAAAGACTATGTGGAGTTTACCCAGACCTCAGTGTATAACTATGATCATGAAATGATGTTATAACATAGGTATGTTATTAAGCATAAATTCTTACTCCTGCTCCATAGAAGTCATTTCCGGCTCATTTGAGAGGCAGCTAGTCCTGGGTGCAAGGGAAAATAGGCAGCAGTAAACATTTTCTTTGCATTCTCTCTTTCACTTTCTAAAAGGAAACTACATTCTGGGAATGTAATAACTAGCTGACAACAGAACTGATGGCTGTGTGAATACATAAAATAATGTTGTTATTATGGACATAAGTTAATCTATGTAAGTTCACACACATTAAGTCACAGGATTCCTTTTCTTAAGACATTAGTTAACTGAGGATAGGAAATACACCAGAAACAGATACTTCCCATCTAACCAGAGTCACATCTTCGTGGGTATTTCCAGTACCCCCTTAACTTGCTGTGCTCTAATCTGGAACCACTTGGAAGAAGGCAGTAACAAGAAAGAGGTAGTTATCTGTGTTAGCTTGCAGTCAGGCAGAAGACAGGGTAGATATGTACCTTATAAACTAACTAAGATATATAGACAGCATGAGCTTTTGTGAACCAAATCTTCCTCCTCCCTTTGTACCTTTTTCTATTCCATTTTATACACTGCTTTACGCTCATCTTTTCACTGCATCTAACAAAGTGAGCTCGATGTCACAAAAGCTTATGCTCTCTATATATCTCATTTAGTTAGTTTATAAGGTGCATCTCTGCCCTGCCTTCTACATAGCAAGAAAACATTTTCCTGCATTCAGTTTCCCTTCTTAACTATCCTGATTTATGGACTCACTGGACATATAAACAGTGCATTGAAAACTGTAAAAGAAATGTAGGCTGCTCTTCACTGTATATTTCTTTGATTCCCATTTTCTGTGGCTAGGTAAAAGCCTGATGTCACATACACATGCGTGTCAGACATTTGCTTATGAAGGAAATAGGAAACTTATAGGCAAAATTGTACGTAGACTCTGAGGCAGGTGAGTTGACAAAACCAAAAGCTCCTTAATCCCAAAATCTTGTGACTAATACCCACAGAGAGAGAGAGAGAGAGGCCCTACAAAAAGAATGGGTAGAACGAGGTCTTTTCTTCTGGTGCAACACTGGAATAACACAGTTTGATCACATGAAAGTGATAGGTAATATCATGGATGTTTCAGGCCCCTGACATGTTACGCTTTAGACGTAATTAATTTGTTAATCTTGTCCCAAGTAGTGACCTAGCCACACATTCATATGTGTAATAACTTTGTTGTTGGTTCCTATCAAAACTTTAATTAAAAGTGTAGCCAGTGCTCCCAGCCTCCGGAGCACACGCTGGAGGCTGGGGGCATTAGTCAGCTGACCAAGGGTCTGGGCTGGGGAAGCACACTGAGTTTCCCCTGCTGGAAGCCCAGATCAGTTAATAGAGCTCCCAGCCACAGCCCAGCCCTCCCCTCCCCTCCCTGGCAGTGGCTATGAGCTCCAATCATTGATAGGGATCCCAGCCACAGAGATGCACCATGGGCTTCTGTGGCTGGGAGTTATATCAGCTGGTGGGGCTCCCAGCCAGAGGACTGAAGGCTGCCAGTCCAGGGAGAGCCTGGGATCATGCTGGTACTCTCTGCACCAGCAATATGGTGTGATGAGATCTGATGCTTGATCCCACAACCAGACCTCCTGCCATGCATGTGTGGCATGGCAGGAGGTGCAATTGTTGGGACTATGCACCAGATCCTATTGTGCCTTCTTTTTAACATCTGTCAGTGGCCTCAGATATATTTGGTCTTCCTCAGAAATGGTGCCTTTGGCCCACGCATCTGCTAATCTGTCATGTTATAGTTATACATCTTAAATGAAAAGCTTAGAAAGTCAGAGTTGCCTGAAGCTCATGCATTTAACTCAAGATTTGTCTGCATCCAGAACATGGCAAAATCACTTTATCTAATCTGAGATCTGGAAAAAGTAATGTTTCAAGGGTTTTTTTATTAGTGTATTATTCACTTGTGGTATCAGCAACTTAATGAAAGGTAAGATGCCTTGCATCCTTCTGTCTCAGCACTTCCATGGAGCTGAATACCATATTCTCTAATGCATGTCAGTGAAAAGCCTTGAGAGCCAGAAAGATAGTAGGTTGTGTTCCTCAGGAGAACCACTGATTCACTGTGTGACCTCAGGCAGTATGAACCCAGATGAGTATACCTCAGTCAATCCATTTGGAAATTAGTGGGGAAAAAAAGGAATGAAGTGAGCTCCAGGGCTAAGATTAACTGAGAAAGCATAACATTTTCCTTTTAAAAAAGGTCTATGCTGCGTACTGTTAATGGGGGAATTATCTAATCTTAGGCATAAGCGGGGGAGGTAGATTATTTAAGTAACTACTCTGATGGTCCAGATCAGGCACTCATTGAAGTCAATGGCAAAATTTCTGACATTAATGGTTACAACGATGAGTCAATGAATAATGGTAATGATGCTTTTCAATAGCATAAGAGTATTATTATTCCCATAGAGACCTAGCTGGATGAAATCAGGTGCCTTTCAGTGAGAGGGAAAGTGGATTCTCAAATATGGCATCTGTGTACAGTAATTCAAATTATGATCTGATTGTAGTGACAAACACAATATTTCATTCAATCCATTCCTTTAAATCAAGCAAATGTAATGCCAGCAGCTAGCTAAAAACCGTCTTACTTAGCTGTTTCTGATGCTTCCCTCAGCTCTTCATCCAGTCTGCATGAGTAAAAGTTATTGATGTAGGGAAGAAACAAAGAAGAAGCAAGCAGAGCATAAGAAAGAAGCGGAGCAATAGCAGAGCAGAGAACAAGGTACATGCTTCTAAAATATAGTCACCCATTTTTCTGCACTGCCCCCAAACTTCTTCAGTTCAATATGTTGTCATTTCTTCCTGTTCCTAACCCACTTTTACTTTGAAATTCCTTATACAAGTTTATCTGGAGGCAGAAACATAAAAGTAGCAAGGGTCTGAGGCATGCTCGCTGTATGAAGCTGAAAACATTCAATTGCTCTATCAGAGAATTAAATTAGCTGCAGCCTGGGCCAAGTCAAGGACGTTTCCAGTTTAGTAGGTTTGAGTTGCAAAGGAGGCTGATCTCAACAGCTTGAAGAGA